CATGTCATGGGCATATGCAAACATCTTCTGTGTTTGAGTACAAACCTTAGGCTGCATTGATATATATCCTGCCTTGGTTTTCCACCCTCCTTCACAGTTAGCATAAATACTGTTTTCTTGATATCAAGAGTTGTTTTTTATACCTAATTAAAACTAGACAAAAAAGAGGAGACTGTGATTTATTTATTTATTTATTTATTTATTTATTTATTTATTTATTATGGTTTTTTGTTTGTTTGTTTGTTTTAAGTCTAATAATCTTTCTGAAAAAGCTCTGGTGTGACACACTCTTTTTTAAGTGATTTTGTTGGCCATCATAAGCACAACAAAACAATGCAATAAAAGACAGGAGGCGCAATAAGAAAGTGCATATGAGAGCTGCAGAAACCACACAGGTGAGTATGTGTAAACAGCAGAACTGAAGAACCACGCACAAGTGCAGCCCACCTCCATTCCTTACATAATTTGCACAACGGGTGTCTGATGCACATGCCTATCTCAGACTGTATAGAAAGAATATTAACAATGTGAGTGAGGTGCAGAGAACAAAAAAAAAACAAAGATAATTAGAACTGCAAGAAGAAACATTGTGGACATTCTCTCGACTTGGCTTTTTAAAGACGAGCTTGAAGAGTAGCTGAAGAACCTGCGCTTGGGATATTTGTCGGAGTGGCTTATTCATACGTTCATCCAGCCCTTAGTCATGCCTGTGCCTGACCGATCCTGTGAAGCACTTTAAAAGGTAGAACAGCACAAATATCTTTCACAATCCTCCTGGAAACTTATCTCCTGCAATGCCTAAGAAAGCCCTTCATAGCATCAAGGCTGCTGGCACTCCGTGTGTATTATCCAGAATACAACTGTTTCACTGTTACTTTGCCTTGAACTACCCTATTTGTTTACTGGATTCACCTGTTGTCTTTTATTACATGCCAAGATGACAAAGTCTTTAAAGCAGCATCTGCCTTTTTAAATAGATGAGTGCAGCATCTTGCACAAAACAGCACTACAGACCCTGCATTTAACAGCATTTGCAGGGGAGAGAAGACAGTTGCCGCAGGTACTATTGTAACATCCACACATTCTCACTGCCGAAAGTTAGCATGGCAGTGGGGGTGACCCTATTCCTGTTCATTGCAGGGCAGTTGGACTGGATAACATTTGAAGATCCCTTCTAACTTAAATGATTCTATGATTCTGTGATGAAAAATAGTCCATAAGCAACACTGAGGCAACAAGCCGACAAACTAGCGCAACAATGTGATCAGAAATAATCAGCATAAATTCACCCAGGGAAGTCATGCTTGACCAATCAATTGTGTATGAAATTACTGGCCTGGTGGATGAGAGGGAGGCAATAGATATTGTCTGCCTGGATGCTGGCGAAGTCTTCTACTTCTCTCCTGTAATGAAGGTAGTGAAGGAATTAGAAAATGAGATATGTGAGGAACAGGTAGGGGAACTGTGCTACTTTAGTCTGGAGTAAAGAATGTTGAGATTATGCCGTATCACTCTACAACTACCTGAAATGAGGTTGGAGTGAGAAGGGTGTTGGCCTCTTTTCTCAGATGATGAGTGACAACATGCAAGGAAATGGCTCAAGTTATGCCAGGGAAGGTTTAGGTTGGATATTCGGAAGAATTTCTTCACATTGAAAGTGGTTGAATATTGGAACAGGCTGCCCAGGGAAGTTGATGGAGTCCCCACATCTGGAGGTATTTAGAAGACTTTTGGATGTGGAATCCAAGCACCAACATATGCTGAGGCCACCCACCTGGAAAGTGACATTGTAGTAAAGGACCTGAGGGTCCCAGTGGACATCAAGCTGACTATAAGTGAGCCATCTGCCCCTGAGACAAAGAAGACAAAAGGTGTCATGTGCTGTGTTAGGCAAAGGATTGCATCAGGCTGAGGGATGTAATCCCCTCTCCTCTGCATTGGTGGGGATGATGTGTCCAGTTCTTCCTTTCCCCTCCCACTTCCAAGTACATGAGAGATGTGAAGCTACTGGAGAGAGTTCAGAAAAGGGCCATTAAGATGACAAAGGACCTGGAGCCTCTCTCCTGTAGGGAAGGGCTGAGAGCTGGACTGTTCAGTTGTGAGGAAAGGCTGAGTGAGACAGCTGAGACTGTTCTGCCTAGAGATGCTCAGGGGTGATTATATCAGTGTATACAAATCCCACAGGAGAGAGTGCAGGGAGAGTTGAGCTTTTCTCAGTGGTGCCAAGGAACAGTTCAAGGAAACATTTCTTTACTGTCGGAGACAGGTTGCCTAGAGAGGTTGACTATTTTATTGGAGTCCTGGACTTTAGGGATCTAGACCAAAAAACATCCAGACACAGTTCTGTGGTGGTCCTGCTGGAGTGAGAGGGACTGACCAGATGATCTGTAAAGGTTCATTTCAATCCTGTTGAGTTTGTGATTCTGCAAAGGTGCCCTAAACTAGTAATATGGTCTGAAATTCCATAGGCTTTTTGTAGTAACCTGAAAGTCCATTGCAGAAAAAGTATTTATATGAGACGGTTAGTTTAAAAAACAGTATTCAAGGAGATAAGATCATAGAATCATAGAATATCCTTAGCTAGAAGGGATGCATGAGCATTGTCAAGTGTAACTCCACACAAAGCAATCTAAAAGTTAAACTGGATCTGATGAGAGTGCTTTCCAAATGTTTCTTGAACATCAACAGGCTTGAAGCTATGCACACTGCCCTGGGGAGCCTTCTGGGGCAGAATCTTTCCCTAACCCCCCAAATCCTCCCCTGATGCAGCTCTATGCTGTTCCTTCAGGCCCTGTTGCTGTCACCAGAAAGCAGAGCTCAGCGCTATCCTCTGCTCCCCATGAAGAATCTGGAGGGTATTGAAGTTACCCCTTAGTCTTCTCTTCTCTGGGCTGGACAAACCAAGTGACATCATATACTCCTCCTAAGTCACACCTCTTTGTTGCCTCCCTTTGGACACATTTTAAGATTTTATATCCTCAGAGAAACTCAGAAACATAATACATGGCAGCTGTGAGAAGACATCGACGCACTGTATTTGACAGGATTTTTTCAGTTTTTTAAAACTTTTGTATTCCTGAGTTAGTGATGAAGAACATACAGGTTGGTTCCATTGGAATAAATGTCATTTATTAAAACCTCTTCTGGTGCCAAAGATCATTTCCAGGCACTCTAGAAAACACAGTGTAGCCTACTTCTCAGTAGATGAATCCATACAAAATGCCCCTGCATTAAAACGGATAATAAATGGTATTGCAGAGAAACTTCCATGTACTAGTCACAAAAATAAATAGATAGATAGATAGATAGATAGATAAAATCCCAGGATTTATTTTCTGCCAGGTTGGTTCATTGTTAGGCAGCATCAAGTACCAAGAAAGAAAAAAAAAAAAAAAAAAAAAAAAGTCTTTCCTGCCATACTTTAATTATAGCTGCTTCTGGAGAGGAAGAAACAGAGAGAAAACATGGTGTAAGGTAATCCTATATCGATATGGGGGCCTTCAACTCCAAGTGGGGCTACAGGTACCCCTGCAAAGAGAAACATATCAAAATAAGTATCTGGATTGATTTAGGCTTGTTTCATAATGAAGAAATTGAGAATCACAGAATCATAGAAGTCTTAGACTTGGAAGGGACCTTTGAAGGCCACCTAGTCCAACTCCCGTGCAAGGAACAGGAACACATACAGCTAAATCAGGTTGCCCAGATCCTTCCTGGGCTGGATCCTTCCAGAGACTTCCATGGCAGTTTATGAAATGGCATACCATAGCAATGGTAGCCCTCCTAGAAATAAACAGAATCCAACCCCGCCCCCCCTTTTTTTTTTTTCTTGCAGTTTTGCCATCTGAAATAGCTGGGGATTATTGCAGAGTAAAAGTTGAATACACCCCAAGGCAGAACTGCTTCAGGCTCCCCTGAAAAAGATCTGACATGTTTCTGAGCTTCTCTTATGGCTCTAGGTGATCATTTTTACTTAATAGATGGTACTCTTGGGACAGACCTGTAAGTTGTTCAAAGTGCAGGTTCCCTGTAGGCACTAAAAGCCACAGCCACATTTCCAGTAGAGTTTGGACACTGCCACAGACACGCTGTTTTTGAGCTTGTTTGGGAAGTCAGCCAGAGGCAAACAGCTTCTGGTCACCTGCCTCAACTTCACATTAAATGCCAATAAATACCCCTACGTGGTGGGAAGCAGCAGGGATTTCAGGGAGTTGTTTCTTCACAACAGCTGCCCTTCGCCGCGGAGGGAGAGCAGCGCGGCCAGGAGATCACTTTGTAGAGGACAGCAGGGAAGTGGAGGCAGTGGTGGACACCGGAAAGCCAACAGCCCGTGGAGGGAGACCACTGCCACGAGGAGATGGGCAGCAAGGTGTGAGGGCCTCCTAAGCCATCCTGCGGAGGTGGCAGGGAAGGCTGGGTCGGGGCAGGAGGGCTGTGCGAACGAGGCAGCGGAGCGCGGCTGTGAGGCAGCTGGGCAGTGTCAGACGTGGGCGCCCGCTGCCTCCGCTGAGCGCGACCCGAGAGAGCCGACGTCTGCGCAGCGGGGAACCCCCTCCGCCTCACGTCTCGCCCCGCTGGCCGCCGGCCCCTTTATAAAAGCAGGCGGAACTTCCACTTCGTGCCTGAGCGCGTGGCGGGGAGGCGCGGCTCTCACTGAGACCGCGGCGGGCGGCGGAGCGCCGCTCCAGCCCCGAGGAGCCGCGACGGGAACAGGTGAGGAGCGAGCGGGCCGGTGTGACGGCAGCCTGCGGGCTCGGGAGCTCTCCGACGCTCCTCTGAGGCACAGCACGGTGAGTGGGACGGCTGCAGGCAGCGCTCGGACCGCCCTCAGCTCGGCCCGGCGGAGGGGCAAATGCTGTGGCTGTGGGGAGTCGCGCCTGGGTGCCTGAAGCCCGGCTCGGTCCCGGCAGCTCCCCGGGGCTGTGGGGGAAACTTTAGCTCTGTTTGTAATTTGTTAACTAGAAGTCGTTTCTTACATGCTGTTAAATATCAGCGGGGGAGATCGGAGCTGTTACACGGACCGGGAGAGTTCAAGGAGTTAAGGTGAGTCACGGGTGCGCTGACGGCTTTGCGCTCCTTCAGTGGCTGAGCCCGTCTCTGACAGAGGGGAGAATCGCTGCCTTAATTGTAGTGGAATCGTGTTAGATCCCTGAACGCTGCTGTGAAAAGTTGTGTGCAACTGAGTGGGTGGGGCATACCAAGAAGATTTCGCTTTAACTTTGAGTAAGTGAGGAATGTCTTGCAGTAACACCAATTCACAGCATCCTTTGCTATGTTCACGTAGTGAAAATACCTGTACATTATAACAGTGGGCGTTTTGCCCCTTAGCTTTGTGGTTATTTCCATTCTTACCTGTAACAAAATGCTGTCACCTGGTAATTAGAGTCATGGAATTGTTTGAGTTGGGAGGGACCCTTAAAGGCTGGTCCAACTCCCCTGCAGTGAGCAGGGGCACTGACAGCTGATCAGTATGCTTGCACACCACGAAGCAAGGGGTACAGGACAAAAAAAAAATTGCTAAAACTTCTAAGTTCCATTGGCTTTTCCCACTTTGATGGCAGCAGGACCTCTGTCAGAATAGGGATCTAGGTTATCACCACTTTGTACTTGTCTGTCAGACCTCAAGATAGGACTCAGCACAGATCCACAGCACTGCCTCACTACTTCTTGGTAACAAACCATCTTTGCCTTCAAAAATTCATTTTCATTCTACCAGGTGCCTTGTGCTTCTTCATCCCAGTCTCCAGGACAATTTGTCTCTTTAAAAATAAAATTAATTTATCTACAGAAAGAATAAGTGTTTCTGGAATGCGATTTGCACAAGAACATTAGAAATTTGTGAATGTTCTGAAAGACCAGCTTATAATCTGCAGTTAAAGTCATGCAGTTCCTCATTCCTTGATGAGCTGTCCCAGCACCAGTCTTGCTCCTGTGGCTCTCCTCACATCTCAGTAACACATGCAGTTGTTCCTGGCATCACAGCTACTGAGATTAGAGCATGTGTAATCCCAATTTGTTTAATTATCAACTGAGCAAATCTTATGGGGAGTCTGCTTGAACTGTGACTTTCACAAGTATCTGTAAGTACTGTGCATTTTTGTTGGGTTATTGGTTTTCTGTTGTTGTTATTTGTGTTTTTTTGGAGCAGTGTGTACCCCGTCTAGGTGTGTTTCCATTCAGCCAGTGTCACTCTGGTTTTACAGAAGTCTGTCTAAACTTTGTTTCCACAATAGCAATTTTATGACACGTGGCCCATAACGCATTCTCCTGTAAGGACAGATTCTGCAGATGTAATCATGGTTATGGTGCCTAGTTGTCAAGAATGTGTTCTGCATTATACTGTTCATTTACAGATATGTAACTCTTCTAGTGTTAACAGGACAGGTTCATGCAACATGTGCTGCATGTTTTGTGGTTACCTCTTCACCACTGTGAGGGCAAGAGATGCTTACAGATGGCTCTTGGTCTGTTCTCAGCTGGGCATGCATATCTGTGTAAATGCAGATACGTGCCTATGGCCAGTGTAGATATGGTGGAAGTAGTCAGCAGTAAATAATAAATAACAAATAATTTTTCTTCTAGTAGTGTATTCTGCATCCTGTATGTCTTTTGGTGCTTGCACCATCCCCCCACCATCCTATCCCTTAAGAGTCCTTCTTGGAGGGCAGAAGGATCCAGGAAGGCTGGATGTTCCTCAAGAAGGAAACTGTAAAGATGCAGGAGTGGGCTGTCCCAGTGTGCTGTAAGATGAAGTGGTGGCTGAACAGGGAACTGAGGAGTTTACTTCCTGTGGGAGAAGGGACAGGCAACTCAGGGAGAGCACAGGGAAGTTGCTAAGTTATATGCAGGAAGAAAATCAGAAACGCTCAAGCCCAGTATGAAGTCCAGTATCAACCTGGCCACTGTGGTAAAGGACAATGGAAAAATGTGTTTACGAATGTACCAATAGTTAAAGGACAGTGAGAATCTCCATCCTTTACTGAATGTGGTGGGGAACATGACCACTGAGGGCAAGGAAAAGGTTGAGGTTCTCAATGCCTGTTTTACACCTGACTTTAATAGTCAGAGTATCACCTGGGTACTCTACCCCTCTGACCTGGAAGTCTGAGGTGGGGAGCAGAATAAACCCCCTGCAACTTAGGAGGTAACAGTCAGAGATCTGCTACTGCACCTGGACTGTCACAAGTCCATGGGGCCAGATGGGATCCATGCAAGGGTGCCATGGGAACTGGTGGAAGTGATTGCCAAGTTGCTTTCCATCGTCCATCAGTGATCCTTGTCTACTTGAGATGTCCCAGAGGACTGCAGATTTGCCAGTGTGATTCCTATCTGCGAGAAAGGTCATAAGGAGGATCTAGGGAACTACAGGCCTGTCAGCCTGACATCTGTGCCAAGGAAGAATAAGGAACAGGTCATCTTGAGTAAGATTACATGGCATGTGTTGGACAGCCAGGGGTTCAGGCCCAGCCAGCATGGCTTCATGAAAGATAGGTCCTAGTTGACCAGTCTCATCTTCTTCTCTGACCTGGTAGCCCACCTGGTGAATGAGGGAGAGGCTGTTAGGGTTGTCTGCCTAGACTTCAGCAAAGCCTTTGACGCTGTCTGCCACAGTATTCTCTGGGAAAAGGTGGCAGCCCGTGGCTTGGACAGGTACACTCTTTTCTGGGTAAGGAACTTGCTTTGGGCCAGGTCCAGAGAGTGGTGGTGAATGGAGTCCAAACCAGCTGGTGACTGGTCCTCAGTGGTGTTCCCCAAGGGCTGATATTGGGGCCCAACCGACTTACAGTCTTTATTGATGATTTGGCTGAAGGAATTGAGTGTACCCTCGTAAGTTTGCAGATGACACCAAGTTGAGGGTAAGTGTCAATCTGCCTGAAGGCCCTACAGAGGGATCTGGACAGGCTGAATAGGTGGGCTGAGGCCAATGGGGGGAAGTTCAACAAGATCAAGTATTAGATTCTCCACTTTGGTCACAAACCCAGGCAATGCTACAGGCAGGGCAGAGTTGCAGGAAAGCTGTGCAGAGGAAAAGGACTTGGGGTGTTCATTGACACTCAGCTGAACAAGAGCCAGCCGTGTGCCTATGTAGCCAAGGCCAGTGTATTCTAGCTTGTATCAGAGCAGCCAGCAGGAGCAGGGAGGTGATTGTTCTCCTGTACTCTGCCCCGCTGAGGCTCCATCTCAAGTACTGTGTTCAGTTTTGGGTCCTTCACTACAAGAAAGACATGGAGGTTCTGGAGCATCTTCAGAGAAGGGCAGAGAAGCTCTCGGTTTTTGAAGCACAAGCCTTCTGAGGAGCAGCTGAGGGAACTGGGTTTGCTGAGTCTCAAGAAGAGGCTCAATGGAGACCTTATTCCCCTCTACAGCTGCCTGCAAAGGAGGTTGTGGTGAGGTGGGGATCAGTGATAGGATGAGAGGTGATGACCTGAAGTGGTGCCGAAGGAGGTTGGATATTAGGAAGAATTTCTTCTCCAGGGTTGGGTACCAAAATGGGCAGCCCAGGGAAGTGGTTGAATCACTGTGCCTTGGAGGTATTTAAGGAAAGGGTAGATACAGCACTTAGGGATGTGATTTAGTGGGCAGTATTGGTGATGGGTGGACATTCGGTCTAGATAATCCTAGCAGTCTTTTCCAACCTTAATCACAGAATTGATTCTATTGCTGCTATGGTTCTATGATCATAGCAGCGTGCAAGCACCTCATCTTTTTTTGCGGCTCTTTGTTACAGCTGTCTGTTCATAGTGTGAATGAGTGAATGAGGCTCAATGCTTCTTCTGGCTGCTGCTGATCTCTGTTTAATTAAGAAAGTAGAAGTTATTTAGAAGTTGAGCTTTAAGTAACCTTAGCTTTGCTATGGCAAAATAGGGTCTTCCAAGTAGAAAACCCGCTCCAAACATTTAAACTGGCTTAGGCTAGCCTTACTCTACCCTTACTTAATTCATAGTTCAGTTGAAGTATATGCAGACAGCACCTGTAAGCAAGTGGTAGCATTTGGTCAGATAACAGAAGAACAGTCTCATTTTCTTGCCAAATGGCTTATTCTCAACTCCTCCTGTGCCTGTTATTTAATGCTCTTCTAACCAAAGAATTTCTGCAGATGAAAAGACTTCTGTTAGTGCTGTGTACCTTCATGTAAGTAATGCATGCAGGTAGGTACTAAAAGATAAGTCTGAAAGAAATATAAAATCACTGGTGACTTACAGATATTTAAAAAATGAGGGGAGACTGTGTCAGAACTCCAGCATGTGTGCTATCTAGAAGATGTTTCTCTTTAACTTGTGTCCTGACACCTTGAATGCACCAGTTAATTGGACTGTTCTTTTTAATAATAGACTTGATGATAATCTTGATTGTTTTACACCTCAAAAATATGTATTTCATAATAATGGTTTGTACATCAATAAAAGCTGAGAGAGACAGTACTGCATCATGAAACTTCACTGTAATGGAATGAATCCTTAAAGCTGTTTCAGTCCAATTTGTTTTAAAATATAGTTTTATCAAGAAGAAGTTTTTTAAAAAGAACAAAATCCAATGAAAGAAAATGATATTATCACAGTGGCATCTCTGCTCTCACCAGTGATCAGCAGTGCGATATTTGCTCCATGAGGACAGAGAAATAAGCATGAAACCCCTGCACTAACTGTTCTCACTGCAGCTGAGGAGCCGTGGCGTGTCACAGCTGGACAAAGGCACCTCTGCCTATGGCAGGGGTGGAGATCTGAGGTAAGTGTGTATCTCAGCTGACTTCTATGTTGCTGTTTCTTGGACTTTTAGAACAAAAAAAAGTACATTGATACTGTCTTTCGACTTCAGAATTCAACATAAAACACCAGTTTTGAAGAAAAACAGAATGAAGTTACTACTTCTCAGCTATTCACCAGAATATTACTAATACTCCCTATGGATTAATAATAAGTGTGTTCATTTCATTTGCAATTAAATTAATTTGACATTTTTGTTTCTCTAGAAACAAATTGTAAATAAACAAATTTGTTTTCATCTCCAATCTTGTTTTGAAATCATATTGCTCTGCCAGTTGTTAAATTCTGATTTTTCTTCTGTCTCTGAAGACTTTTCTCCAAACAGAAAGTAATTTAGAATCAAAGGCCATCTAGTCCAAATCCCCTGCAATGAACAGGGGCACCTATAGCTCCGTCAGGTGCTCAGAGCCCTGTACTGGCTGACCTGGAACGTCTTCAGGGACGAGGGGCATCTACCATCTCTCTGGGCAACCTGTTCCACTGCCTCACTACCCTCATTGTAAAAACAAGCAAACAAAAGAAGAACCCACAAACTTTTTCCTTATGTCCAACCTAAATCTGCTCTCTTTGAGTTTAAAACCATTTCCCCTTGCCCTACCACAGCTGACACCACTAAGGAGTCTGTCCCTTTCTTTCTTCTCTCCCCCTCCTTTAGATACTGGAAGGTCACTGTTAGGTCTCTCTGGAGTCTTCTCCAGGATGAACAGCCCCGTCCTCATAGGAGAGGTGTTCCATCATTTTTATAGCCCTCCTCTGAACATGTTCCAACAGGTCCATGTCTCTCCTGTACTGAGAACACAGTACTTCAGGTGAGGTCTCACCAGCACAGAGCAGAGGGACAGGATCACCTTCCTCATGGTGCTGGCCATGCCACTTTTGATGCAGCCCAGGATACCAGGAAAGCCCAGGTTGGCTTTCTGGGCTGTGAGGGAACATTGCCTGCCCATGTCCAGCTTGCCATCCATCAGTACCCCCAGGTCCTTTTTGGCACGGTTGTGCTCTATCCTTCCATCCCCCAGCTTGTACTTACACTGGGGGTTGCCACGACCCACAGGCAGTACCTTGCACATGGATCTGTTGAACCTCATGAAGTTCTTCTTGGCCCCCTGCTCAGCCTGTCCAGGTCTCTTTTGATGACTTCCTATCCCTTGGGTGTGTTGACTGCACCCCTCAGCTTGGCGTCATCAGCAAACTTGCTGAGAGTGCACTCGAGCCACTGTTTATGTCATTAAGCTCCTATTTTTTTCATATGAAACCTCCAGAATTTTTCTTCATACTATTGAATGTTTTTTTTCTTTTAGAGCTGATGCTTTTTGCCCAGTCTGTGTATTACTCCGAGCTCCACGACAAGCACAGCAGCTTTGGCATCACTTCATTTGTGCAGTTTCACTCAGATTAGTAAGTTCTCCAAGCACCGTAACTAAGGTAATGTTCTGCAAATGTTACTACTTTACTTTTATAAAAGAAATAATATAAGTCTTCCAACTATTTAAAAGTTAATTCTTAGCTAAACAAAGTGTGCTTATGCTTTTCTTCTTCATTAAGACCCTATTAAGTAACCTGTTTTTTTCCTCACTAATTTGTTGATGTTTAGCACTGTCATTTGATAAGAAAAAACAGAAGCAGCTCAGGTACTCACAGGAACTCAGTGAAAACAAACGCTGCAGCGTTTATCTTGTTCTTGCTTCCAATATTTTGAATCAGGAGCGCTACAACTGCTGCAGAGTCACTTAGGTGTAGTCAGTATAAAGCCATTACAGTGTGGAGAAAGAGAAAACATAGTGGCAGATACATTTTAAGCAACTATAAATATTTCAAATATTGTTTTTTTTTAAAAAAAAGCGTTTCTGGAAGTCTGGGAGGTGGTAATTTCCCCCCCCCCCCCCCCCCTTCCTTTGTAGTCTTAAAGGAGTGTTGACAAATTTATAGGAGCAATTCAAACAGCTAATCTTTCTCCGTCCTCCCCACCCCCCCCGTTTTTTTGTTTTTTTTTTTTTTTTTGGCCTCCTTGCCTTCTTTGAGCACTGGGTGTTATTTTCTGCAGCTAGGAAGGTGTACGTAAAAGACAAGTGCCATGAATCAGACTATAGAAGTGCCGACAGAAGGGAACTCCCTGATCAGAGCTGTCTATCAGAGTCGACTACGCCTCACCAGGCTGTTGTTGGAAGGTGGGGTCTACGTCAATGAAAGTAACAATAGAGGTGAAACCCCCTTAATGATTGCCTGTAGGACAAGACATTCAGACTCTCAGAGTGTCAGCAAGGCAAGGATGGTTAAATATCTACTGGAAAACAAGGCAGATCCAAACATCCAGGACAAATCTGGAAAGACAGCCTTGATGCATGCTTGCCTAGGAAAAGCGGGGCCTGAGGTGGTTTCTCTGCTGCTGAAAAGTGGAGCTGACCCAAGCCTACAAGATCACTCTGACTGCTCTGCGCTGGTGTATGCAATAAACTCTGAAGACAGAGAGACTCTGAGAATTCTTCTCAATGCCTGTAGAGCAAGAGGAAAGGAGGTTATCATAATCACAACAGAGAAGTCTCCATCGGGAAGGCTGACAACAAAACAGTACTTAAACGTGCCTCCTCCAGAACTTGAGGTATGCCACTCTCCAGTTTCCTACATTGCCCCATCCAAAATAGAACTGACATTATCACCCCCGCTTTCAAGCTCAAATGAAACTAAAAGGGCACACTTCAGCTTCAGTGATCTGGAGCATCCCGAACACAATGACCATTCTCAGCCAGTTTCACCAAGAAATTCAAGTTCATCAGGCATGGGACCCAAGCTGACACATTTGCAGCAACTTCAGTCTGAGCCGTGGGTAAAGCACTCTACTTCCTCGTTTCACCAGAATAAGATTTCCAATCTACGTGGAGAGCTCCAGGATATAACTCCAGAAGAAAAGCTCTCTTCCAAAGCCAGTGGCTTTGCCTTATCAAAGAAGTTTGTTAACAGGCTCCAAAATATTGACATAAAAGACACTGCTAACTTATTGAAAAGTGCTGCTCAAAGTAGATCAAAGAAATTATACAAGGTGATAAACACTCAGACTTGTAGTGAAGAGGAGCATCTTCCCAGTGAGATCCTTGGGGGTGAGGATGAGAATTCTAGTTTGGGACCAACCAGCTTAATTTCAAACCTACGCAGTATTATCAAAAAAAGAAGCTTAGGAGCAAATCATCACAGCGCTCATTCTCAGTTAACTACTGCTCTACATCCTGCTGCTGCAGAAGACAGTAAGTCAGTGATAGGAAAGAAGAAGACTGTGTCTCCAACTCACTCTTTGTTTCCAAGTTCTAGAGATTTACTGGAGAAAATACCTTCTGTTCCCAGGAGAAGAAAAAATGAGACTTTTCCAGAAAGACAGGGTTCAGGAGCCTTTCTGCTGGATAACAGTGCTCGGGCAAGACCAGCTTTTCTTCCACCGCTCAATGTGAATCTGCAGCCCCCAATTCCGGATGTTAATTTCTTACATAAGAAATTACCCTAGAAACCTTATGGGCAAAAACAATACCAGCAGCACCTGCTTCCCTTAGTGAGACCAAAAATACAAAAAAGCTACTAAGGAAGCAGTCATTACAGACTTAGCAGATTAGGCAAGTAGTGAATTTTTGACAGGAGATTGAAGAGTTATAAAATGTTTACAATGTGTACAGACTCACTGCTCTACCTAACTGTAAAAGATGGCAGATCTGTGATGTAGGGCTCTCAGCCTCAGAATGAATTAAATGGCTTAGGTACTACATCAAAAGATATACTTACCCATCTAATGAATTAATTAAATGACGTTGCTTTCTGCAGACTGAGGAATATTTATTATATGCTCTTAATTTCAGCTTTAGCACTGAAGCCTTACCCACATCAGTCTGAATGTATGCGGGATATTAGGTGATGCAGTTCTCAGTTCTAGGTTGCAAGTTTTGCCCAAACACTGCCTTGTTTTTCCATCCAGACAAGTTGTACAAATGAAATTTGGGAACCTGGAACATTTGACTTTGATGCTGGACATGAGAGTTTTGTGATATCCAGACATTCCAGACACGAGCCTGTGCTTGAAGGGTGGGCAGTGGTGGGTGCCAATAGGCAACATCCTCTGGCTTCCGTGAATTTACTGCTTGTAAACAGACAATGCACAGACTATAAATGAAAACAGATGTTACAAAGCTATGCTGTATGCGTAGCTTCACTTGAGAAATTCCAGATGAAGACTGGGAATGTGCTCGATGTGCCCACTGGGAATCGGCACAGTACACAGACCTCCGAGCGCTGCAGCTGGGCATTCAGCATCTGACAGCAGTCCAGCATGGAGCCATGAGGCCAGCAGAGTGCCTGAGTGGTGCTCTCGCTTCTCACGTAAAATGACCAAACCCTGCTTGCAGCACCAGGTAGCCACGTCCATCAACATGGGCTTCTCAGGCTGTCTGCTGGAGTTCACTGATTAAAACAAGGATGGGTGGGGGAGGTAAAGGCTCTGTCAAAATGGAGCTGTTACTTGCAGCTTCAGGCAGAACACGTGGGACCTTGTCCTCCCCATACGCGTGTTTCTTCTCTACACAAGATGCAGGTGGTGGAAGGTATCACATACCTTTCCTCGCCTGGGAGCAAGGGTGAGCTCTGTCCTGCTCTCACATATTAAAAGAAAATAATAATAATTAAAAAAATCCAACAATGGGGATATTCACCTGGGAGCTGGAAGACCTCATCTTGCCTAATTTGAAGCAAGAGTATGAGTTTGCTACAGGTCAGAAACATGCTTTGCCTCTAAGATAATTCATATATATTTTTAATCGTTTCTATCAAAGATGTGCTTTTCCTTCCTGTTTGGTGTTTTGTGGTTCCAAACATCTATCTTGCATTTGTGTATGTTCTGTAGATGATTTATGGCATCAAATCTAACATTTAATAACTTGTCTTCTAAAGCTTGAGAAGTATTTAATGTGCTCTCTTTTGCCAATATTTACCAAAAACAAACAAACAAACAAAAAAGCCATCTGTATTGGTGTCTGTATAACCTGAATTTCTGTATGCCAAAATGAGGTGCCCTTTCCTAAAAATACTGTGGGTGTTATCTGTCGTCTTCTGGATTCTGTCAAAATTCACTCTGCGCTGTTGCCTAATGAATAGCTGTATGAGTAGTGATGTTGTTTAGTCTTGCTCTTACTATAAGACAGTTTCAAGTAAATAATAAATATACAATCTCTCTGTAAATTCCTTTTGATGGAAAAATATAAAAATATATAAAAATGAATATGAATATATAAAAATATAGAATATATATAAAAAGCCCCTAATATATATTTTTTGAAGAAGGAAATTTTCGACATACAGAAATAGCATGGTTTAACATCCCTGCTCAACAACACTGAACAAAATGCACATCCAGAATTACAGATTTAAATCTTAAAATGATTTTTCGATACCAAGTCTTTTCAACCTCTGGATTATAGAGATTCTGTGAGAATTGCTCTCTGTCCAAACTCCCACAGGTAACCAGAATGAGCGAAGGAAACCTGTTCCACTGTAGTCAAAATTAACTCCTCCACAAAAAATACATAAGCCTTGAAAGTCGCAGTGCTCACAGCTCTGCTAACCTGAGATGTGTAGCACCCTGATGCACAGTGACCCGCAGAGAGTTTGACGTGGATACAGCTGTCACACTTGCTTTGTTACTTCATCAAGTATTCCTCAGTGGGTGTCTCAGAAATAACCAGTTCCGGTCACAAACACGTTGCTGGCGACAGGAATAGGGTATTTATTTGATTGCTTGTTCATCTTTCAGAGAAGGACTGTTCATCCCTTGAAAGTTCCTTACTCATTTATGGATGAGTAAGAATGGGGTAGATTTAGCTCCACGAGGTTACACAGTTGAGCAGTCAGAACTGAGGCAGTTCCGAAAGTGATGTTATGTCATACTGCTAACCACTGGCACACGTGGTGAAGCTTGTGGAGAACGTGGTTCCATTCAGGTGCAGACTGGAGAACAGTGCTGTATTTCGGGAGGCATTACTGGACCAGCCTCAGCGCATGCGTGGCAGAAACAAGAAAGATGAGGTGGGAAGCGTGTTGTAGCAGAGAAATTACGTGGAGTAACATTAGGCAATCTTGAATTACTAACCATAAATTTAAAAATCAGTCCATATAGACACAGCGTGTATGCAACACAATGCTCTTATGAAGTGGTTTTTATGCTGTTTGTGGAAAGTGAATTCTAGTCTATTCATTTCATGATTAATGTAAGTACTGAGAGTTCAAAATATGTCTTTAAGAAATACTTTTTTCCTTTTAGATTTTCTACTCATATCTTCTCTAAAAGTCTCTTTTCTGCTGTGTGGGTTTGTAATTAATCATGTATTAACTTATGCACTGCTCTCTGAAATAGTACTTTTTTAGAAGTGTTTAGAAGATGGAGGAGAATGCCCAATGCCTTGAGAAGAGAGATCTTTCTGCCATGTTGCCAATACTTTGTGCCTAATTTTCACGCAGAAATAATGTGAAAAGTTAATGTGTTTATTGTTGCATCAGTGTTAAAAGTGACCTTAAAAGTAAAAACCATTCAGTTGTGTTTTCTTGTTGTTGTAATGATGCATAAATAAAAGTTGGTTTTTTTCCCCTTCAGACAATGTGGAAATAGACATACCCATTTATTCGCCGTTTAGGAGATGCTGAATCACTGCCAAAGATACTGCTAAGTGTTCCTCAGGCTGTCTCTGAACTGGAAAACTGGAACAGTTTAATCAAACAGAGCTGAATTTGTACACAGTAATATCTGAGAGAGACACTCTCAGTAGCTTATTTTAGCAATTGAATTGAAGATACAGTTCTGCCATTCCTGAAACATCCCATCTGTTTTCCAGTTATCCTTAGGCAAAGAGTTCCCAACAGACCTGATTTATAATATTAAATTCCACCCCCCAGGCTCAAAGATTTAAAAACAACAAAACACCTTTCAGGCGTTCTTCATGCATATCGATGAAGAAAACACAAGGGGAAACCTTTTCCTTGCCTCATGTTGGCTTTTCAGGACTGTGGCTTCCCACCCAGCAGATCATCTGTTCTGTTTCACATCTGGCAGTGAAAAATTAGGGAAGCTCATTCACTCACACTTCTGAGAAGATTAATATATCAGTCCTTGAAAAGCCCTGCATTAAACTACATAAAATAAGTGATACTTCCATGAGTAAGCATTCCTGTCAATGTAAATTACAGCTCTGAGGAAAATGCATTGACTTATGAGATTGCTGGTTCTGGATCTCTGCGACAGACTTTTGCAGATCTGGTACAAATTCAGAAAGATGATTTTTTTTCCTCAATCTTTCCATTTTCATCTGCAAGATACTGTGCAATACTGCGAAATGTCTTCTGTGATTGCCTCACAAAAGCAGTGATTACCTAACATCCACTACACTTATGTATTTCATGTTTTGGTTCGCTGTGTACAAGAACAGCAAGTCACTACAAAAACGCTGCAAAAAAAGACATGTCCATGGCTGCATTTAATGTGCTGTGCTCAAAGTGCAGCTTTGAAAATATCCTTCCCTGTTCTTTTTGCTTTTACTTTTGCATTAAGGAGGAGGTTGTTTGCAGGGACTGTTTCTTTTTTGTCTTACAGCTATAGAGCAGAGGGCAGCATCTCCAAGCATTCAGTGCAGCTACATGAGAAAACAAGTAAATTAAAAGTTGCTAAAATGTAGGTTTTTTTCTTTTGTCAACACTTAATAATACCTTCATCTTTATGCATATCATGAGATACAAGTAGTCAACTTTGTTTTTTTCTTTTTTTTTTCCCCCTGAAATCAGATATCTGTAATTAGATTCCTTCACAAGCAAAGCATGACACCACTCGTTCACAATGCCGTCCATGTAACAGGAGCACGGGTCACTAACAGAAAAGATAACATTAGTTAGTAGTCAGTCACACAAATCATCCTGACTACATTCAAACTGTTCTCATTAGAAGATGAGTTTTTTTTCACTTTCAAATTTAAATCCAGAGTTGGAGGGAGGGATACTAAAATACTTCACAGTATTTCTCAGCAAAGTATTTTTTCCATCAAGTTTTGCTGTTGCTGCAGGGCCTTCGAAGAGATCACTGCCAATATAAATGCATCTTAAGAAAACTCGGGTTTTCTTTGCAGAGTGAACTGGTACAAAATGCCAATTTTTATGACTAACATCTCTGAAAATGTCCCAGCTATTAATAGTTTCTAAGTCTTACAATCCTTCAGAAAAACTGGCCTTCTTTAAAAATAGACATCCTGTTCTGCTCCTGTTGTTCAGAGATAGGACCTGTTATCTGAGATAGGTGCCTCCTCGGACAATGTTTGTAACTGAGAGGGAGCGCATACGTCCCATGAACATCCCCGCTTTTTGCATTTTACACTGTAAAAACACAAGCACACTTTTCTATGTCTGACAGAATGAATAACAGAACCTGAGGGCCCTGAGTGGGGGTGCTGATAGAAGCATCTGAGCTACTTGGTGCAAAGGCTTTACACATTCCTTACAAGTATTTGTCAGAAGACAACAAAGAGGAAAGTAAATTTCTAACAACCAATCAAACTACAGGAATTAGAATTGTTCAAAAACTTATTTTGTACCTGTATTAGTCCTCTGTGGTAGTCTTTACTGTGCAGAAGGTGAAATGTGCCATTAAATCTTAAAGAACCCCAAAATCTTTGTCTAAGAGGAATGCTTGGAGGTCTTATCAATCCCCCACCTCAGAGCAAGATTTGCCTCACCCTACTGCTCACCTGCTCCTCGGAAGCAAACAAGCATCATCAGTGAGTGCTGTAAACAGCACACGATTTCCCTTAAACTGGGATTTGGGAAGCCAAAGTGTTAACACTGCAGCACTTAAGAAAGTACCAGACTACTGTGAGCATCTGCATGAAGTCAAAACCACTGTTTCACGTTTAACCACTAGGATCTGTGGCTCTGTCCAGCACCACAATGTATTTCTAATATTAATGTAGAGGTTTTGTTCCACATAGGGAAAAAAAAAAAAACAAAACATGTGATTTTGTGTTCAACTGGGACTGGATTCTACTCAAAAAACACACAACAATCTTAGAGCAAGCAGTGAGTTTTTTAAAAGACTGAATACAGTCCAAGTTATTTCCAAATTTCTGAGTCCGAGCGCATGCTGATGCACTGTAATTAATTCCTGGTTTGTTTGTGTTTGTTTTTCCCCAAAAGGGATGAACTATCAGTTGAGCACAATCAAGCTGCCAGATGCCACTAGTTGCAGCCTTCTCTCTCAACAAGCTACTCCCTTTTATGTTTCAACAGCATCAGGAGTGACAGGCAGCCAAGGCAGTGGCTATGACAGAAGAACACAGAAAGACTGAAGGGAATGAAGGCAAAATATAAAGACACTGAAAACCAACAAGTAATTGCCTTGAAAATAACTATGTTCAAAATTCAGATGATTACAGAGCAAAATAATTCTCATTTTAGTGGGAACAGAACAAAAATAGTAATTTGTTATTGTGCTGCAGCAGCAGCCTAAGATCTGATGATCCCCATCAGCCTGCTGCATCCACCTGCACAAGAGCTGGCAGAAGGGAACATTGACCTTCCTGCCCTAGCACAATTACAAGTAACTGCAGTGTGGAATTATTATTTTCTTCAGCCACGCTGAAAATGTAATAATGCAGTAATGACTGCCCTGCAGTGAAAACACAAGTCAGAAGTAAGAGCAGCTAGAAGAAAGTAACTTCATCTCACTTTGTTGCAAAGACATACTGAAACTCAACAACCAGAGCCCTGAAGAGAGCCAAAGAAAAGACTGATGTAACACCCCAGCTTTTTATTAAGGAGTCTTTACATTTGTACATTGACCCACACAAGCTAATAGATACAAACATCATGGAGACACATTCCGTGAACCAACAATATTACAGCAACTAGAGTCAAACTAAAGAATAAGTCTACAAACATCAGAACATAACAACTATCAATACTGCTTTTCAATTAAAATTTCAAGAGCTGCAAGAGTGTATTATATTAGAAAAAAAAAATATATCTTTGAATAAACATGAAGTTTTAAAAAAAAATTCTTTAAAAATGTGTCCCACACTTGCTTATATCTTTTCATTAGTAGTTTAACCCCTATTAAAGCAAATATTCACTGAAAATCAAAATAAATTTTAAATAAATTGAAAGAAATCCTAGAACAGCTGAATTTAAGGGAAGGCTCCCCTGAATTTGAATATAGCATAGGAAGCATTTCATAATACTCTGGTGTCTTTCCCCCTAGCCCTTCCAAAAAAAAACCAAAAAAACCCCAAAAACCAACCAACAAAAAAACAGAAAAAACAGCTTGTGGTAATATAATGCATTCTACATTTAACATGTCATAAACAGAATCTTCTACTGATGAGGAGTGAGAAAATTACCCATTATGATAGCAGCACAAATGGAGCATATGAGGATGAGCTACAAAATAATCCCTCTGAGGAACTGCACAGTGCTGTACCTACTACAGTCTCGCTGTCCTCCTGTATGAATATGAATGATTTTTCTTGGCAGACACTGAATGGTTCTTGACAGCTGACACAAAAGCTGTTGGTAGCAAATTACCTTGGTCTACAAGTAGCAATCAGGGTTGTTCTCTCCTTTATATACTTGCAGGAAACAAGTGCTAGATCACACTGAGAGAATGACAGAGAACATGCACGTGATGAGTAAATAACAATAGTGACCCATTAAAGAGGCACTGCATTTCTGTTTGGAAAACCTTTTAAGAAAATTATACAAGAACTATTTCAGTGACTATGGGTGTGTTCTATACACTCCATTTGAGCAGGAAAATACACTTCCCTTTCAAGTTTAAAGAAACCAATTATTATAAATGAGGTCATACCTTGTAGGTTTCATATTTAACATTCTATTCCTATAGCCTTTTTAAACTCAGAATTTTGTGGTTCTGAGATGTCATAATAAACCCTACTTTTATCAAAGTTTTCACGGATGAAAAGCAAATCTTCTACAGAATATACATCCTGTTTGCCTGTCCAAACAGTGAGGCTGTACCTATTAAAAAAAAAAAAGTGATTATTAAAATAATGGATATAAAACGGAAAAAAAAACAAACAAACATTGCATTTATAGGCTTCTAAAATAGTCAGAAGTGTGGTATCTTAATGTTAGGAATGTAATTATTTACCAAATTTTATCTCCTTTGTATTTCAAAGTTAAGCAAGATTCAAAATTAGGAAGTAGGAGAACTGTATGTCCCTGTTTTCCTTATGCGTTTACATTTATACCAATAATCTTCCTCCACCTTGCATTTCTGTTTCACGAAACTGCACTCATGGTCTCCCCACTCTTCTTGCTGCCCCAATGATTTCAAGTTTATGTAAAAAGCAATTACTGAAAATATTACTCCAAAGTTCAGACAACACAAATTTGTACCATAAGGAGCACAAAGAATGCTTGATACAGACAGGCTACCTTGAGAATATGACTGCAGCCCAAGAACAAATGAGGAAATGGTAGTCTGTATGAGGCAAGTTTTTGTCTTCTTTTATTATATGTAAACATATTTTTTATGAAATTGCTATAGGTTTGTAAAAACATTTTTTTAAAGCAACTCTAACTTAAGTGTCTGGAAATCACTGAATGTTTTTCAGGTATCAAAGCAATGTCCTTCAGATTGTTAGTAAACTTCTGCTGTAGTTCTGGCTGGGATAGAATTAATTTTCTCCACAGCAGCTCAGTATGCTGAAATGTTTCGGATCTGACAATACACCTCATATTTTTGCAGCTGCTGAACAGTGCTGACAAAGCAAAGGCTGATGGGCTGGGAACAGATACAAAGCTGGGACACAACACAGGCAGCAGAGCTGACCCACAAAGATCAAAGCACCAAAGGGATTCAGTATCATGCAACATTGTGCTCAGCAATTAAAAACCTGGGGGAGCAGGGAAGATGTTTGCCAAGGCTGCTGTTGATCAGGGACTGGCAGGACATTAGTGGTCTGGAGGTGAGTACTTGTTTTTGCACCACTTACTTTTCTTGGTTTTGTTTTATTTTGTCCCTCTTTTACTTAGAAAATGGTCTTTATCAAAGCCCATGACTTTTCTCATTTTTGCCTTTCTGATTCTCTCCCCAGTCCCACTGTGAGCAAACTGGGTAATGCCCTGCTGACCACCAGTGTTAATAAATGAGTTCCAATTCAGAACTGACTTGGGATGCTTTTAGGCCAACTATGTAGAATACAAGGAATATATCAATTGAGGAATATATAAAGTGTAGGTAGCAATTAATTGCAAATTGCAATGTCGAACTGGTTGGACTAATTAACTTTGCTAATCTTATGAAATGGTTGTAATGGAACTGGATTACAAAACCTATAAAAGATTAGCTATCTATAATAAGTAATATTAAAGGAGGTTTTAAAAATGTTATTATTTCACAGAAACGAGAGCTTTATTACTGAGAAATATGTGACTTCACAATAAAGACTGCTAAAAATAAAGCCCCACAGACTTACTGGTCTGACTGGTCTACCAACCAGCAAAGCTCAGACGCTGACTGCCGTACTAACGCTGCCCGCACAGGGAATGTGACAGGCTGAGAGAGTGCACTGCATATCTCAGCCATGTCTTTCACCATTGTCCAACTGTAGCCTGCAATAAAGACCATGTGATTACAAAGGTCTCTTCGCAAATACAACCTCTATCAAAACAAAGGCACAATGATTTACTGAACGGTCAGACTGTAAGACAAGGGAAGAGCAGACAGTTTTGTGAAAATCAGATCATTTAGAAATGAAGTGACTAAATTATTATGAGAAATATCATTGTCTGATGGGGGGGGAAAAAAAGGAGAAAAAGAATCTTATTTTCACGAATTTCTGTGTTTTTTCATATATAGCTGCAGAATACAACATTTTTTAACGCCCATGGAATTGCATCTTTGCTCTTTAAGAGGTTTTGCCTGTGACATCAATACATGCTAGCTTTAACTTGACTGCGGCTCTTTAAAAGCAAAAACATTTTGGAAAGAAAAAAAAAGAGGAAATAATCTGAATTAATGCAGTAGAAGACAAAGTTGTGTAGAAATGTAGCACACAAAATGTTTTGTACTTAAAAAAATGCTAAAAACAAGCAATCTGAAATACAGTGCCTGTTGCTGAGGTTTTTATGAGTGCTGGAGGTAAGAGTGCTGTTTTGCTGTTCTTCAGTAACAACACTTAATCACGTTTTTCTCAATTACTCACAGGCAATGTAGGGACTTTTCTGTCACTACCGCTTTTCAGCCAAAAAAATGCACCAAATTTAAAATTAAGGTTTTGCTGGGCAAACAGTAAATTGCATTTGCAATCAGTTTCTCTTGTGTCTTACAATACATCCTTAAATAGCATTGCTGTAAACTGAAATTTAGAATGAAAATAATGTTAAATTTATTTTAAAAGATCACTCACTACAGTAGTTCCTGTGCATATTTCCAGCAATGTTTTACTGTACTGAAACAACTTTGGAGAAAAAGCTGTACTAGTTTTAAAAACATACTGCACAGTATACAGTGCAGTCATTGTAACAAAATGCTAAACCTTGGTAGTCAAAATCAGTGGTTTGGAAAGGTGTGCAGGTTTGTCACTGAACTCCCAGATGATGCTGGTGGGAACTATGCTGCTGCACACAAATGCACATGGTGCATGGGAGTAAAGCACTCTGACAAAGCAGCTGTGAGAAGGGTGAAGGGAAGCTAGCAAAAAGGATCACAAAATAGTTTTTACACATTTTGGATCAAAACTCCAGATAGGGATCAATAATTAAAAGCTGCAATTAGATTCACAAATTTGTGATTTTAAAAAAATTACTAACATTAATGCATTGGAAAGTCTATTGCAAAAAATTCAGTTCTTCAGTGGAAATGTAAAAAAAAATTGACTCACCACTTGATTTATCTAATGCAAAAGCATACTGATAGGATTTAACAATTCCAGCTTACTTTTCTTCAGGAAACGTTCCAGAACTCCAGTTAGCAAACTTCTCCTGGTGGGACTCAGGGAGCAGACTGCCTGAAACAGGGCTCAGGCAATTTGTTCCAGGAAATACCTCAGGATGAGGGAAATGACTTGAAGAACAAAGTATTGCTTGACAGAAAAGTCAGATTTCCATAGAGTTCCATCTAAGCTCAAACACCGAACTAACTGCTACATGTTATAAAATGTAATTAATAAAGTAATACTTCTTATATTGACTATTATTTCCAAACTGACAGGAAATGGCATTTACCTAGAATCGATCGTGAAATTAATTTGAGGAAAGCAGGTGACATGACATAAGCATTGCATTCCCTCTCTTTACCTTCATTGTGCTGTTCAGGGTGCCAGCCAGTCGTCCATCCCAATGACAAGGTTACATCTGCGAAAAACGAGGTGACAGTACCAAGGAATCCCTCTGCATCCACAACGGGGCTGATCCCATTGGGTCCTGGGAGGATGTCTGCATTGAGCCAAACGGGTCTCTCCAAACACGGCTTCACAAGCTGGAGCAGCTCCAAGGAGGGCCGTACGGCGTCAAGGCTGTACCAGCAGCACATGGACAAGGTGAGACCCCTCTACCCACAGTGAGGACAGGAAGCACTTAGAACACGTCAGTGGACACAGGGGGGATGAGCTGATGGTTGGACTAGATGATCTCAGTGGTCTTTTCCAGCTTAATGATTTTATGATTCTGTCATTCTAAGGCGACCTATAACCTCTTATGAACTTTGCTGTGTTCCAGTTAGGCCAGAAAAAATCCAGGCGTTATACAGAGGAACAGTCCTTGAAAATAGCCCTGCAGAGAAGGACCTGGGGAGCCTGGGGAGCCAGCAGTGTGCTCCTGCAGCTTGGAAGGCAAATGGTATAGCAAATGGTATCCTGGGCTCCATCAGAAGAGGGGTGGCCAGCAGGGACAGGGAGGTGGTTGTCCCCCTCTACTCTGCTCTTGTGAGGCCCCATCTGAAGTACTGTGTCCAGGTCTGGAGCCCGCAGTACAAGAAAGACAGAGAGCTGTTGGAGAGGGTCCAGAGGAGAGCCACAAAGATGATCAGGGCACTGGAGCACCTCCCCTACAAAGACAGGCTGAGGGAGCTGGGCTTGTTCAGCCTGGAGAAAAGAAGGCTGCGGGGTGACCTCATTGCAGCCTTTCAGTACCTAAAGGGAGCCTACTAACAGGAGGGGAATCAACTCTTTGAAAGGGAAGATGAATGCAGGACAAGGGGAAATAGTTTTAAGTTGAGGGAGGGAACATTTAGGTTGGATGTCAGGGGGAAGTTCTTTACTCATAGTATAGAGTGGTGAAGTGCTGGAACAGCTGCCCAGAGAGGTTGTGGATGCCCCGTCCCTGGAGGTGTTCAAGGCCAGGTTGGATGGGGCCCTGGGCAGCCTGGTCTGGTATCAAATGGGGAGGTTGGTGGCCCTGCCTGTGGCAGGGGGGATTGGAGGTCCCTTCCAACCCAAACCATTCTATGATGATTCTATGAACCTTGTCTATCCTAACAAAACTTCCAAAACTACTGTGATGTGGTAGGAAAGGAAATACAGAATAATTGGGAAACCGATCAGATGTCACGAAAATCCATAATTATTTTCTCACACCGAATTAATGAATGTTCCACATAACATTCGGGAACTTAAAATCACTGTAATTAAAGGTGCATCCTAACAGGACAGACCTGTATTCTCCCACAGTCCTCTGCACCACTCCGTAAGACTCATTCTGCATCAGGCCATTCTTAGCCCTGGCCCAGGACAAGGTCAGAAGAACCGTGTCAGAATGTGCAGACAGCACTTGAAAGAGCAGCCAGCTGTGACCCAAGCTGCCCACACTTACTGTCAGCAGCACTTTTGTACATTTTAGCTTTAGTGTTATTGAGAGCACTGCATATCGGTAGGGTTCCACCCACCACTTTCAGTCAGCAAGAACTGGCTCATTTGGGTCATAGGTTTTTTGGTTTTTTTTTTTTTTTTTTTTTTTTTTTTTTTTTGTTATTATTTTTTAATTTTTTTTTTTTTTTTCCCAAGAGAAAAGCCAGTAATGACTTAATTTAACACCATTGGTTTCTAACCAATTTCTAACATGCTCTGAAGCCAGAACACTTCATTTGTTCCCAGAACTAGCAGACAGGTGACTGTCGGAGTCACTCAAATGCCTTCATTTCTTCAATGAAGTACACAATAATGTAAAGAGCACAAAAACAAAGAAGCATCTCTTGAAAATAGAACAAAGAAATCCAGACAGGACTCTTCTTTTGCAAAGCACTGAGAAAATTCAAACATGCTGTTGACTCCACTTTCAAGGCTTTTTTGAAATGATTGTGGCATTTTTTGAAGTGTGACTCCGAAGCCCTTTTGCAGAATGCATTAATTCTAGCAGGAAATGTGATTATGTGATCAATCACGCTCACAGGGTAGGAATACGGAAAATATTTCTTCTTAAGCACTGTTAAAGTAATCTTCAAAACTCCAGCAACAGTAACCAAAGAATAAGGATCCAAAAGAAGATCAGATTCTGTGTCACTCACACAAATATAGCTGCACTGGGGACTTGTAATTTTGAAATGCTTTTATATAACCAGACTTTCATTGTGCAGTATAATTTTAAAAGCTTTTTAAGATCAGCACTTGTCTGAAAATTCCTTGTGGAAAAAAATAAGAGGCATCTGAAGGAATCATTAGAACTGATTTCTCCTCTTTTCTCTCTGAGCAAAGATATGGAGAACCTATGGAGAATCAGTAAGAGGATATAGCATGCCCATCTTCACAGAATCATAGAATCACAGAATGGCTAGGGTTGGAAGGGACCTCAAGGGTCATGAATCTCCAACCCCCCTGCCACAGGCAAGACCAATAACCTCCACATTTAATACCAGACCAGGCTGCCCAGGGCCCCATCCAACCTGGCCTTGAACACCTCCAGGGGCATCCACAGCCTCTCTGGGCAGCCTGTTCCAGCACCTCACCACTCTTTCTGTAAAGAACTTCCCCCTGACATCCAACCTAAATCTTCCCTCCCTCAACTTGAAACCATTTCCCCTTGTCCTGCAGTTATCAACCCTTTCAAAGAGTTGATTCCCCTCCTGTTTGTAGGCTCCCTTTAGGTACTGAAAGGCTGCAATGAGGTCACCCTGCAGCCTTCTTTTCTCCAGGCTGAACAAGCCCAGCTCCCTCAGCCTGTCGTAGGGGAGGTGCTCCAGTGCCCTGATCATCTTTGTGGCTCTCCTCTGGACCCTCTCCAACAGCTCTCTGTCTTTCTTGTACTGGGGGCTCCAGGCCTGGATGCAGTACTGCAGATGGAGCCTCACAAGAGCAGAGTAGAGGGGGACAATCACCTCCCTGTCCCTGCTGGCCACCCCTTGTCCTTCTGTTCCCGTGAACTTTAACATGAAAACAGTGATTACATCACACAGAACAACTGGTGCAAATTACATTTTATAGCCACCCAGCAATTACTGCATTTCTACAGCATACCTATGCAGTGACAAAGCTCTTTTTGATGTACAGATGCATTCTCTACATGTGGTACAATCTGACACATACTCAGAGAAAGCTAAATCTAGGAATGGCAGGCAAAGATTGTCTAAAAATCACAGGTCATATCGAACCCCATTTCAAACTTGTCAAAGCAATCTCATGGGGTTTTCAGTCCTCCTTCCTGGCTCAAGCAGAAAACTGAAAGAAGCTTTCCAGATAAGCACTTTTATTTCAGTTTTCCCAGCAGCAAAACTTTGCTTAGTTGCAACTCAGTAATGAGTTCACTGAATATGAAATAATTATTTGTGGTTCAAAACACGTAAAGTTTTTATTCTTTTAATGTACTCAGTAAAACTGACTAAGATTCACTAAGTTTACTGTCCAGTAAGGAATGCATAAGCTCTGAACTGCACAGTAAGAAAAAGGTTAGTTTAAACGATCATCAGAAGACAGTTAGCAATACTTATAAAATTGTTAATTGCTAAGAATGTATAGTATATGCAAATGTTTCGTCTCAAAATACCTCTTAAAATCCAGCTTAATGCCCTTATCTGTGCTGACCATCTCCTCCAGCCACTCCTGCAGCGTGATGTCGCTGTCTGTTTCAGGGGGGTGAGCCATAATTGGGTCTCCATCTCCTCCCCTGCCACCGCGGAGGAGGACATCCCCTTCTACCATGTGAACTGTGCCTGTTATTTAGAAAATGAACGCTGTAACAGAGCAGATTCAGTACTTCCAGTGTCTGCTTAACCGTAATTGCAGGGAAACTTCCTACACCAAACGGTGCTCGTTTACTCCATGAGGATCACAGAGTACAAGCTGCTGCCTATGATGCAACCAAGACACATTTTGGTGTACTTCGGTCACCGGGATCTTTAGAAATCAGTGGCCAAGGGAAAACTGAGCTCTGAATGTGTCACTTGGCCAAGCAAAGCGGCGTAAGGGACCTCAGCCGCTCCTCACACGTGCCCCCCCGCAGACCCTTCTCCACGTTCGCAGCCCTCCCTTGGGCACCCTCTGACAGCTCCGCGTCCTTCTCACATCGCCAGCCCGCACGCGGTGCTGGAGGTGAGGCCGCACAACGCAGAGCACAGTGGCACAACCCCTGCCCTCGCAGCGCTGGGCCCGATGCACCCCAGGCTGGATGGCCCTCTGGGCTCCAGGGCACGCTGCAGGCTCGCATTCACCTTGCTGCCACCAGACGCCCCAGATCCTTTTCCGCACGGCTGCACGCGTACGCGGAGCCGCCCCAGCCGAGAGCACGGCCTCCCTCCGGCCGGCACTTACTGCGGGCGGCCTCCCGGGCCCGGCGCCGGCTGTTCGCCGCGTGCCACCAGCGGATCTGCGCCCCGTCCCTGGCCGCCAGGCGCCCGGCCCTCAGGAAGTGCTCCACCACCGCCTGGCTCCGCGCGCCTGCGGCCACGAGCGGGACGGCCCTCAGCGCGGCGCCGGGGCCCCCGGCACGGAGCGGGGCGACGTGCGGCGCCCGCGCCGCACTGACCACGCTCTGCTCGGCCGCCATGGCCGCGGCCCGGGCCCGCCCCGAGAGGCGGGGGCCGCGGGGCAGCAGCGATGAAAGCGACCCGCAGCCCGGCCCTGCGCGGACGCCGCCGGAGGGGAAGACAAACTTGAGACGGTCGGCGAGGCCCGGTTGGCTGCTTTATTAAAATAAGAGCGAAGCTTTATTTAACTCTTAGACATCGTTAGCGCAGAATAAATGGCAGAACGGATACTCCGGTTACCCGACCGTACGCAGGAATGCCGCCCGCACCTCACTGCGTTCGTTAACCAGAGGAAACAGCGGAGAGTCGCGCGGTGACACCGAGCCACGACCCGTTTGCACGCAGCTGCCCACCGTGCGGCCCGCGGCTCCCCTCTGCAGCTACAGTTTGCAGAAGAATCAGCTCTGATGTATCCCCAGTATCCTCCAGGCCTGAAATCTTCCAACGCTTCTGTGTTTTCTAAGCACAGAGCTGATGAGGTTAAGCTACAAGTTGTGTCTGAGACAAAAACATGAAATATCCCCAGTGAGCATCGAGAAGACAGCAAAGTGTTAGTAGCCTCATAAACCTGTACCAGCATTTTTACTGAAAACAACATCGACCTTGGACTTGGTTTCGTTGCTTTCTTTTTGGTAAAGACTTGTGACAGTTACCAATCCTTGGTTCATGGAACCTTGGTACCAATCACGTGCATCCCGAGTACATAAATAGATTTTAAGGACCCAATATAAAAAAATACATACAATACTAAATCTGTTCATGAAAACTCACACTTAATACATCTGTCCTCCCTGAAAATAAAGGAGGCTACTGAGAGATAAGAAAAGCAGGAGAAGGAAGCAGAAAAGATAGTGCAGAATTCCTATCTTATTGCTACACGTAGATTACTTCAAGGATAAGCTGGCTTTTTACTAATCCTTGAAAGGTCAGATTGCGTCAGGACTTTTGAACATCCAGTAAAAGGAAAAAAAAGATCAATATTTATAAAAATAGCATCTGTTTTAGTAAGATAAATCCCTATAAATTCAAGAATCAGTTTTTCTACAAAAAGTAATTCAGAAGCATACGGTCCTGAAGAACCAGCATGGTATCTTAAGTCAGGACTTTGTTTACAATGCTGTTGTAAACTTAATTGTAATTTTTCTTTTAAAACAGATTTGATGAGGGAAGGGGATATACTGCTGAGAGACAGAGAAGAACCAGGGAACGCTGTCACTTGAGGAAGGAGGAGGGGAAAACCTCAGATTTGCCCTAAAGGAACTTGGGAGGGCTCCTCCAATAAGGTAACAAGGCCAGCTGTCCTGCAGAGATGGAATGAGAAAAGCCAAGGCACAGGTGGAACGAAACCTGGCAAGATGTGAAAAATATCAAGAAGAGATTCTACAGTACATTGGTTGGAAGAGACATGCAAAGGAGAGCATACCCCCTCTGACAGCTTAGAAGGGAGAACTAAATACAACAGACATGGAGAAGGCTGACTCATTCATTACTGTCGATCAGGCTTTCCACGCCTGTTACGTTCCTGAACATAACAGGTTGAGGCTAGGTGAGCAAAACCCCTTCCACTTTAAGGGCAGAGCAAGAAGACCTGGGGAATGACAGGTCAGTGAGCCTGGGTCTGCACCTGGGAAGATCATGGAGCAGATCCTCCTAGAACATGTGTTAAGGCACATGCAAAACAAGCAGGTGATCCGAGGCAGCCAGCACAGCTTCACCAAGGGCAGATTCTGCCTGCCAGCCTGGTGGCCTTCTGTGATGACAGCATCTGTGGACAAAGGAAGGGCAACTGATGCCATCTACCCAGGTTTCTGCAAGGCCTTTGACATGGGCCCACCACATTCTTATCTCTAAATTGGAGAGATGTGGGTTTTGAAGGGTGGAATATATGATGGCCAGAAAGATGTGTGGTCAATGGATCTATATCCAAGTAGAGGCAGGTAATGAGCAGGGTTCCCTCAGAGGTCTGTCTTGGGACCAGTGCTCCTCGGCATCTTTATCAATAAGATTGACAGTTGCATCACCCTCAGCAAGCCGAGTAGTGCAGCTGATATAACAGAAGGAAGGGATACCATCCTTATGGACCTGGACAGGCTTAAGAAGTAGGCCCACATGAATCTAATGAGGTTTGGAAGAAACAAGCTCCCTTACTGCTTCTTAATAAGAGAAGTGCTCCAGCCCTCTCATCATCTTTGTGGCCCTTCTCTGGACCCAGCTCCAACAGCTCTGCATATTTTTGTGTTGGGGACCAAGCCTGGATGCAGTACTCCAGAGGAGGCTCTGCGGCCATCTCATGGTATCCTTCTGCTACTTACAGGGAGCTTAACTTTACATAGTCAAATAGTGCTGGGACAAGGTGGAAGGGCTTTAAACTAAAAGAGGGGAGATTTAGGTTAGATGTTTAGGAAGATGTTGTTTACTTACAGGGTGCTAAAGCCCTGGCCCAGCTGCCCAGAGAAGCTGTGGATGTCCCATCCCTGGAGATGCTCAAGACCAGGTTTGATGAGGCCCTGGGCAGCCTCATCCCATGGCAGGGGAATTAGAACTAGGTGATATTTAAGGTCCCTTTCACTTTAAGCCATTCTATGATTTCTCAAAACAAGCGTCAGGAGGTGTCCACCTATATACTGGCGCAAGTACAAGTGGCGAAGTATGCAGTCAGCAACCTAAGACTTCAAGTTTGCACCTCAAATAGCAAAAAAGTTCTTCACATATGGAAAGGACATGCTTCAGGTTGAGATTAGATCTGACTGCAGCAATTTCTTTAATACTTATCTGATGTTAAGAGGCAAGATAGCATGGCTGGAAGTTACACTAAACAATGTAAGTGCTACAGTAGTGTACAGAGGTAAGCAACTGCCTTCTTCTGCAGCTGTATTAAGTGTAAAGTTTCAGAACGTTAGAGAACATTACAAACTACACTTGCTTCTGTGGTAAAGTAACAAATGGAAGTTAGATTCCTGTTTTGTTTAAATTTAGTTTCAAAATCCATTAAAATCAAAACAGTTTTAGAAAATTTGATCTTTAGTGTTTGACGCACTGAGCTTTGGTGTTCAGAGCTAGCGAACCAGTATCTTGCCAGAAATTGGTCTCAAAATAAATGTTCCATAAGGAAAAACATTAATTCCATTTTCAGCGGTAAGCTTGCAGGATCTGACATCCCACCATGGATCACAGGAATCAGAGCTTTGTCCAGTTCATTCAGGTACTTCTGTGGAAAAAGCTGACCCCCAGATCCTGCCAAGTACTCAACCTAAAACAGAAACACATTAACATTTCTTCTGTTAACAAGACAGACAAGTGTGTAGTATCTTAATAAATCAGTATTTCACCTAGCATCACACAGACAGAAAATAACACATATGCTAGGAACTGGGTAGGTTTCCAGGTCAATCGTGAACTATTAGAATTGTCAATGAATCTCTAGGTTTACCAGACCACACATCCTCTGCATCTCATACCACTTGAGATTTTTGTCAAGAATTGTCTGACTGTATTCTATCACAGTGACTATTAATTTCAAAGTATATTATTGAAAAATAATTTAAAGTAGTATTTACAGCTTCTCTTGAAGATAAGGAAGTTTTACAGTTCACTTCCTTCAGACAAGAGTATTCCAGCTCCAGAATTCTGCAGTCTTTTTAGAAGCATCGCATACTAGATGGAGCTAAGCAACCCTGTAGAAATGCTGGAGCAAATGTCTTACCAATGTTAGGAGCTAAAGCAGCAGAAAACTACATCAAGAAAAGCATCAGAAAATTAGCTGTATGATTCCTTTTACTAATTCACCCTATGGCACATGAGTGCCAAAGAGTTAGAACCAGACAAAAACTGGTAACTTACAGCAAACAGCTGCTACAGGCATGGGGCAGAAGGGGAAACAGCAGTTATTCTTTTGTGAACTATTAGTCATTAAGACAGCCCCTATATGAAATTTCATCCTTAGTCTGGATCTGGGTAGGACAAAAACTAGGAACATTCAGAAAGATCCAAAGGTCTTTACAGGAAAGGCTTCAGAATTGAAGTATATACAATACAAGTTGAAAGATTACCATATCTGAGTCAACTGAAACTCTCAGGCCTATCTTATTCATCCCATTCTTCTTCAGGGTTTTAAGGTGTGGACAAAGAGCAGAGCAGCAGGCAGCAGCGATGTCTTTAGCAAACTGGAGATGAACAGGACTGGGTAGTTCATGGTCCTTTAGGAAATAATACACCTGAAATTACAGAAATAAGGATATTCAGCAATCTGTCATATAAAAAGTTAAAAAAAAAAAAAGTAATTCAGTATTCAGTTAACACAACAGTGAGCTACCAATGCTTGTTTGCTGGCATAATGTTCCTTGTTTCATTTGTTCAATCAAAATACTTGAGTAACTATGAGAATATCTAGATTTCATACTCACAGAGTTAACAGTGCTAACAGACTTACACCATTTACTATTTTTCAGAGGATATAAAGTATATGGACTTATCACAGAATCACAGAACAGTTCGCAGATCGGTACGGCTATGTGTAGTTTAGTTTCTTTAATAGTAACATTCAGTACTCTTGTTTTAGCACTTAAGTACTGTAAGTAGTAGCAGTAAAAAAAGTTCAAGTACAACATAATTTACTAACTTCAGTACACTTCACAACTTTTCCTTTTCTTTCAAAGTCTCTGGTGTGTGCTATTTTTTCACTCTGAGTTCCTTCCATCGATTTTCCATCCACTTGGCTTAAAATTCTATGGAAGAGAATAGTATTGTCAACAATTGCAATAACATTTTGTTTCATAAATGTTTTCCCATTCTGAAGCATAATGTCTAATTATCTTCAAAAGCTATTTAACAGCTCTGTAACAAAATAATACAGGATTTGCATCATAATAATATAGAAGCTAAAAAAACAGTATCCTAGACAGGGAACAAACAACACTTACTCAATAAAAACCTTACCTTTATAGGTCTGTGAAACTGAAGCTGCCTCTGTTAAAATTAAAGCCTCTGTTTGTTCTAATCAATCAAAAAAGCCACAAAAAAACCCCAAAAAGCATGCCAAGACAACCCTGCCACGCGAGGAAGAGATGGCTTAACAAAAGGCAAGTTTTGAGTTAATGATGTGTAATTAAAGTTTGAAGTTATTCATATAACTGTTCAAATCACAGGTAATAAGGATATTTTATATATATATATATATATATATATATATATATATATATATATATATATATATA